ATGACGAGGAGTGTATGTGGCGTACGTTTGGGAGAGTGAGCCTTTTTACTCCAGAATGCGTGTGCAGTGGCTCTCATTGCCATACGTGTATTAGTAAGATTTGTTGCCCCCTTCCCGTTTGCCCATGATTTTCCCCTGATCAAGCCGGCGAAATGGGCTCGCTTGCCCATACGGGCACAAAAGCCCATACGGGCACAAAAGCCCATACGGGCAAAAGTGCCCATGTCTGAACAAAGGCATCGACGTTTGGCAGATTGGAATGAGAGACATCCACACCTATTTGATTGCGAATGGTACCAGTAAGAGAATTCGGTGATAACATTTCAGCATTAGTCCCATGCACAATGGCTACGTCGGCAGAGATGCCAGCATCGGCAGAAGGTTGGTGCAAGTTTTCAGCGTCAGTAACAGAAAGCTGAGGAGCATGCAAGCTCTTGGCAGTTTGTTGCGTTTGCTTGGAACGATTACGCTGGCATTTTTTGAAACTGTTCGATGAATTAGAGTTAGTAATAGATGTTGTTTTCGTAGCTACTGCATTATTGAGAACAGCGCCAGCTAATACAGCAGCTCCACTGAGCGACGTAGGAGCATTAGAAGAACTAAATGGCTTCGTCTTATTCGCTGCTTCAGTGTTAGCAGCTTCTGTGTTCGAAACAGCGCAGACCGGTGACGAAACAGCAGGTGAGGAAGAATGCGCAACTGCAGGCAGAGAGCAAGCAATACAAAGAGTTTTTATTTCCGATGTAAGTAACGATATGCTAGCATCTCTATTGTTGACTTTAGTCTGCAGTGAAAGAGTTTGTGCATGTAGGGCATCGAACTTTTGTATTAGCTGCTTATTATCATCGTGCAAAGTATTAAGCAATTACGACACACGGGCATTCTCACTTCTAAGGGAGGCAATTTATTTAAACACTATAAGCAAGGTAATTTACTGCTTGTTATTGAGATCGTTTGAGCTTCCGAATGATTTTTGAGAGTCAGTGGAGGCTGAGTTAATAACGTTCTCAGCCGAGGCTGCGGATGGTGGAGGCGAGCGATTAGATTTACGGCGCTCATCCAGGCAAAGTTTGCAAAAGAACGGCTTGTCAGCCGAAAGTAGAAAGTCAAAATCCGCCGGCATAACACCAACACAGTCTTAATGAAAAAACGCCTTGCAATTCGCACCTAGCACCTTTGGTTGGTTTTGATCAACCTTTTGACCGCACAAGCAAGGCATATTAATTATTAGAATTTAAACAATGAACAATTTTATTGTGGATAAATCACTATGTTAGGAGTCACTGTCTCAATATAAGCACCATACCAGTACCGATAGATAAAAGTTACTTGGATTATTAGTAAATTAGCGCACAAAGCGGAGCGATGAGAAAACACGTCCGAACTGTAACACGTTACAATTTTATTGTATTGTATTGTTGTATTGTAAGTTGTAGCCAATATTTGATAAAAATGTCTTTAAACATAAATATTATGGGTATTCATGGAAACGCGTAAATCCCTAGTAACTGCGTAAACTTCTTAAATAATTAGATTTTTCATTCAAAATTAAGTAAGTTTACGAGGTTTACATGGTTACGAAGCATTTGCGCGTTTTGATGAATCGCCCTATTATTTCGTAAGCTATATAATCGAGCTATCAATGGGCAGTTTCCACTTCTACTTGACCTTTGACGTACGTCAAAGAGAACTTAGTCCTTTTGTAAAGAGAAATAGTCCTTTTATAAATAGAAATAGTCCTCTATATAAACATAGAAATAGTCCTCTTATAAAAATAGTCCTTTTGTAAAGAGAATCGATGCTCAAATAATTAAAAAGCTATAGGTCTGACTTTTAATTAGATCTACGTAACTATCTGAGGCCCTCATCATCCGTAATTCCAACAATTCAAATACTTATAAAAACCGGGGTGTTTTTTTTAAATAATATTCTGATCCGATTCGGCTGGCAGCTAAGACTTTGAAAACAGATATTTGTTCAAAATTTTCATTCCTGGAAAATAATAGTATATTTTGCATATCCACCTATTTAGCTCGCTATAAGCACACATTTTTCAAACCAGTCGCAGAAGAAAGTATTAAAAATGAATTACAAAAACTAAAATCGAAAATCGCTGATAAAGTTACAGAGCCCCAAATTCTGAAACAGCCAAAGAAATAGAATGAAGAATTATTTTTAAATCGCTTTAGAAAAACCTGACACACCTTGGTTGGCTTGTAAGCGCTGTTTAAACAATGATCCCACCATTATGCTAGATCCTAATTGTTTCTGGAAAATACTTGACATCCGCATTCGCATCCGCATCCGCGGATGTTAGCTGTTAGACATCCGCATCCGCATTCGCATCCGCGGATGTCTATTCGCAACATCCCTAATATGTATTGTTGGTCTACGACAAGTTTATTTGTGTGAATAAGATTTTTACTGCTTAGCGTACAATAAAAAATCCTCAGCTGACAGTCCGTCTTCGATCGATACCTTTTGCGAAGTGAGTGCAAAGGCAAAAGACAAAATATATTCTCAGTAAACTTAGACCAAATTTACATATGTACATACAAAGTTTGGAGAGTAAAACTAAGGTTACCAGATTGTAAATAATACCAAGTATACAATTTAATTGTAATTCAATTGAAATTCATAATAGATAAAAGTATATATAACGCCGCTAATGTTCTCCTCCAACATCCTTCCCCTGTTGCAATATTAGCGCTGTGCTCTTGAAGTTCCGACACCCTATTCGCTACAAAGCAATAAAGTTTAGACGCGTGCATTTTCATCCACTGCAGCACAATTTTGGAGTCCGTCCAGAAATGTACAGTATTGATGTAAGAATCTAATTTATACGAGAATTTGAGCCAAGTTCGGCTTAATAGCACAGCAGCTCAAAGTTCAAGTTTGGGCAATGAAAGTACGTGAGTTGGTGCTACCTTTGACTTCGCGACGAGTAAGATGACCTTCACGCCAGTTGCTAATTTGGCGCGGACGTATAGGCAGCATCCATATGCTCTCTCAGAGGCGTCTGCGAAGCCATGTATGCCGCATATGTAATTTTTCGACGTGAAGACATAGCGTGGGACTTCGATCTTCGCTAAGGCTCGCAAGTCTTTCGTTAAAGCCTTTCATGTGGTGCTAGAGTGTTCATCAATCGGCGCGTCCCAATCGAGTTCTTTTAGAATCAGATCTTGCATACAAATCTTACATCGAATTATAATAGGGCTGATTAAGCCTAGAATATCGAAAATTCGTGCAACAACAGAAAGTATTGAGCGTCTTGTACACGGTTCATTGATTTCAACGTGGTAGCTGAATACAAAATTATCACGATTCGGTTGCCATGCGATACCTAATGCATTTGTAACCTCATGGTCACCCAATTCAAGAAACACTTCGTTTTCGGATGTGGGAGTAATCTCTGTACAATTGCTACTAAATTTGGTGAGCTGCAGTCCGGCCTTCCGCAGCAATTTAACTAGTGCATTCTTTTTGTATTGCAATTTTTCTATTTGTTCAGCTCCCGTCAAGAGATCATCCACATAGAGATTATTGCGTAGCGTGTTAGCTCCAATAGGAAATTCGTCCTGAAGCAAATCAGCGATTTGGTGAAGTGCTCTAATTGCAAAGAAGGGTGCAGCCGACATTCCGTACGACACAGTATTTAACGTGTATGTTTCAATTGGGCTGGTTGGCGCAGATCGCCACAATATTAATTGAAATAGTCTATCTTGATCGCTGACAACGAATTGGCGATACATCTTGGCTATATCGCCCGTGAGAGCAAACTTATTCAAACGAAAAGCAAGAAGCGTTATAATTATTCGTTAATTAATTAATTCGTTTAATGACTGCCTGATGTTGTTTTCGCAGAGGCGTCAAAAATAACGCGAAGTTTTGTTGTTAAACTCTGCGGTCGCAAAATGCAATGATGAGGTATGTAAAAGTGAGGTTTTGTTAAGTTGACATTTTGTGCGAGTGACATATGACCCAGTGAGATATACTCGTTCATGAACTCGACGTATAGATTCTTGAGTTGTTCATCTCGGGCAAACCTTCTCTCGAG